CTCTCTCTCTCTCTCTCTTCAACTCTTAAATTTGCTCAACTAACAAACTATCTTGCTCAAACTATGCTTTTGCCAAAGTAACTCTAAGTTGTTCAATTCGACATTTAAAATATCTTAGAATGTGGGTTTGGCTGGGGATGTAACAAAAACGTCACTCCCAGCCACAATAATGTTCCACAAACAAAAAGCCAGTTCTTGTTGATTTTTAAAAAACCTCTGGTTGTGATTATGAAAACCAGACTAATTCATTTACCGTTTGTGTATGTCTTGACCGATTGTTGTATTCAAATCATTGATCGTTATTCTGACTGTATTTACAATCGTTGCTCACAATCAGCTTTGTAGGTAAGTGGTTGAGAGAAGCACAATGTGGTTCCCTTCGTTTCCGAACCAACTCGTTGTCCTTCGTTTGTTTCACTGAATTTCATCACTATAGTATAATAACTGCAACGTTATTTGTAAAATGCTGACTAATAAACTGTTTACTAGCTTAGAATTACAAAGTTCTGTCTGTCTGCTCAGTACCTAGTTTTAGGATATTTAACATTTTAAAAAATCGAATTTTTTATTTTTTATGTCCTAACTTTTTCGAAAGCATTTCTTTGAATATATTGATAACAACTCCGAATAATCTTACGACTTTGATAGAACATAATATGTGAAGTGAGCTGAAAAAATGAGTTACTTCTCAGATTCAAGCCTTAAGGAAATAGATACAGCATGCTTATAGGTGAAGTTTTCACAATTTATAAGTATAAAAAAAGAAAAGACAGGTTACAGTTAAAGAATATGGCATCAATTGAAAATCTACAATTTTGACCCTAATGTCGATTTTTGGCCAAAATCTCCATCTGTGGATTTCGAGAAGTAACTCATTTTATCAGCACACCTTACATAATATAGAGTTTCTGGCCTCATGGTCTTAGTAACTGAAAACGTCCAGAAATGTCAGATAGAACCTTGTAATTCTAAGGCAACGCATTAGTTAAGGAGCTCAGATCAAGACATGATATTGATACTAAATGTGGGGGGGCATGGCCTCTAGGCAGATGATCAATGTTGATGGAATGAATGTACACCTTATATCATCGTAAGGGTCCTTAGTTTTAGAAGAGGTTTTACTGCGCTTGCAACTGCATAAGGTCATGTGAGCGTCAGAAGATTAGAGGTGTTACAAGAGAGTAACAAACATAGAAAATAAGGGGAGATAAGGACGATAGATGTTTGATAGGAAGGAAGAAGCAAACCACACCAGAGCACCCGCCTACCACCCATCCTCGTATCGTTAGGGTCTGTCCTCCAGCTAAAAATAACCCCAGAGCATTACACTGTTGTGTCCAGGTAGAGCAGTCTATGTTTAGTCCTTATGCATGTACTTACAATGTTTATTATGGTAACCACACTGCGCTATGTTATTTTTTTTTATATGCAATGAACTTGGCACGGAATCCAATCATTTTCCCAAGGGAATGAATGAAAGCGATACTTTCTTTTGCTACTTTATTCAATTAATTTTGTAATATTTTAAAACGTTTACCCAATTTGCGTATTTCAGATCTTTACTCCTGAAACCATGACAAAGTCGGAGACTCGAAAATCTTTTAGCATCGATGCCTTACTCGCTCGGACTACATCGTCGTCGTCGTCCTCATTATCGACACCCTCCTCGGTAGTATTGTCATCATCATCATCAGGTCCGTCGTTGCAAACGTCACCCAAAACGCTATCACAAAGTGGCGTCCCCTCCCGCAATACATCTTCCTCTCACGCCCATCAATCACACCCACTCGGGACTTCCGTTTCTTCGAGTTCTAGTGACGTCAAGGGAATTCCCCAGCTGAACAATGGCGCCCCGTCCGCTTCCTCCTGTGATGGCATCGGGAATTCCCCGAAGAGAGATCGCTCACCCGTTATTTCAGACGGTAGACCCGAAAGCTACATCAGATCAAAGAGCAAGAACGATACAATGGGGCATACAAATTCTAAGGAGGATCTTTCTGGAGAAAGACAGAACTCTAACGTGTTGGAAAGCCACCACAAAGCTAGAGAAATGGAGGAGCAGCTTCATAGGCCGATTATAAAAAGCGAACTTGAATTACTCTCAAGACAGCAACAGCAGCAGCAGCAGCAGCTTCATAGACAACATCACAGTCTGCATCAGCAGCTGCAACAACACGGGTACCTGATGTCTCCTCATTCAAGCACGTCTCACTCTCTGTCCCCGACCTCTCCCCTCTCCTCTCCAGGGGGAGGCAATGCCAATGACAAACCTAGAGCTGCAACCTCCCCACCTTCATCCCCTTACAGTGTGAGCGCAATATCCTCCCAACATTTCTCGCACTCTTCACAACTTTCATTCCCTCCCCACTCACTCCTCCCCCACGTCCCTCACCACAACCCACACCACCCCACAAACATCCTCCGACCACCCAACCCTTCACTCAGCGACCCCACCCACACCCACACCCACACCCACACCCACTCCCCCCACCACCACCAACAACAACAACAACACCCGATATTCCGACACGACCGAACCCCAGCCGACGTCAACACTTCCGAAAACAGCCGACGTTTCCCGAACAGAGCGTCCGCCGAGCAGCGACGAGACCGCGAGTCTTCCTCGGACGCTCCCTCTGACGTCACCAGGGCCGTCTCCTCCTCCTCCCCCTGCCACAACTCTCCGTGCTCCACACCCCGCTCCCACACCCCGGAGTCGCCCACATCGTCCCCCCGCCCGGCAGGCTCTGTCAGCGGGGCGTGCACACCTCCACGGGGGTCGCCTCCCTCCAACGCGTTTGTCCCTCGCCCAGGTCTTCTCAACCTCCAACATCACCCGATGGTCCAAGCAGGACATCTAGGATTTCAGGTAATAATTATGTGAAGCAGCGAGGTGAAATCATTCATCATCATCGTTGCCTTTCTCACCCTGCATCAGGGTATAGGTCACGGACAAACACTCTCCACCTTTCTCTATTCTGGGCTAGCCTCTTGATGTTATTCCATGTCTTCCCACTTTTCTGTACATCGATTTCTGTGATTCTTCTCCAAGTTCCACGAGGTCTTCCACTTGATCTCTTGCCAAGTGGGTTCCAATCCAAAACTTTCGAGGTGAAATCAGGCACTCGTCAAAATAGTGAAACTGAAAACACTGGCGTTTTTCTGACAGTTCGGTAATTTTTTAACAAATTTGTGTTTTTTGACTTAACGCCATTGTTGTCCAACTAAGAACATATTTCTTAGTGGGTTCTTTTTATTTTTTTAAACTGAAAAACATTGATTAAAGGCACAAATAATGTACGTTTTCAGTTTGCTTGGACTATCAAGCTATGGAAATAACCAAATTTTGAGGCCATTTTATCGCTAATTCTACATTTGAAACCAGGCGACCCCACCTTATTCAATCTCAAATGCCTTGACTTCTATTCAAGATAGATGAGCATTTTTTTCACTGATAGCAAGGCAACTGAACAAGCTTTAAGATGATACCAATAACTCCACAGGCCCAAAAATTGACGAGCGCCTGATTCCACTGCGCCGTGACACATATCAGTATTGGTGGTTTGTAGAATTCTATCAGCGGCATGTAAAATTCCCACGTGTCTGTCTATCTGTCTGTCTGTCTGTCTGTCTGTCTGTCTGTCTGTCTGTCTGTCTGTCTGTCT